AACAGGAAGTGTACAGGTAATACAGAGGGAACACAAAGACAGCAAACAGGAAGTGTACAGGTAATACAAAGGAAACACAAAGAATGCAAACAGGAAGTATACAGGTAACACACAGGAAATACAAATATAGTACACAGGAAGTGTTCCAGTAACACAGGTAACAGAGGAAAGGCACAGGTAACCTGGAAAGTTACAAGTAACACAAAGGAAAGGCATGCAGAAGTACTAGCTGGTAGCTGGAAAACATTCAGGCAACATTCAGACAACATTTGGGTAGTGTGTAATTCGTTTCCGTCTGGCTGTAATCCTGTGGGTCTATACAGACAGCAGTTCTTTGTGTATTAAAGCGCAGGGATCATATCAGCTTTGACTGAAACTCTCACGCTGAGATAAACCCCTCTTTGGATCACGAGTGAAGGAGAGTCTCACTGGCGTGTCTGTGAAACCATCCCTACAGTCAAACTGCTCGACCGCCCCCACCATCCCCCCCTCCCTCCCTATTCACCCACAAGAAACAGAGCACAAACACCGGATTTATCCGAATCCCTTCCCAAGCTCGGTGTGTTTCAGAATGACTCAGCCCGGGGAGACTTCGTCTTTGTCTCTGAGCGTGGGATCAGGAAGACGAATGGGCGGCACGAGCAAATGCCGCGGGCCATCGGTGAAAACAGCCCAGCTCTTCCTGGGGGGGACCGAGGCCGTCTGAGAAGGTACCTGTCTGAAAATCATTTTTAATTGACGAGAGGCAGGTCTTCTCTCCGTTCCTTCAGCCCTAAGCTTTTCCTCCTTTCTTTTGTCACACTTTCATTTCTTGTCGGAAGCACACATGGGAAATCCGTAACAGACACAGAACCATGGTTGCCCCGCTGCTGTATGTTTCCAGTTGTGTTGCTAGCAAGTGCAGCGCAAACTGCCCATTTGATTTCAATCGCATGATGCTGATAGCAGAGATGCGATAGCTGTGTTTGTATCAGTCTGATGTCTTCCTGGAGGGCAACAGTGAGTCAGATGATCCTCCAATCCTCTCTCCCCCACTTACTCAATTAACTCCGTCATCATGATACGGCTTTAAATGCCAGCCAGCATCCCCTGGACCCTCTCGGAAGAGTCTGACCGGCCTCTCAGTTTGAAAGGCACGTCAGGGAGACGCGGCTGTGTTTTTTTCCCCCTCTTTCCCGAGAGTTCCACGAGTTGCCGTCACGCTTTTCAAGATGTTAACTGGGGGTGACAGTGTGTCTCGCTTTGCGGGATGGTAGCGATGGACTGGGAGGTGTACAGCCTCACTCACATGAACTCCCTCAGCCAGCTTTAACCCGGTTTATCTATCCGACTGCCTGTAAAACTCTTGCTTAAGGTCATGGAGGGTGTGGCCTGTGAGTGGGTGTGACCTATTAGTGGGTGTGCCTAGGGAGTGGGCGTGGCATTAGAGTGTGCATGATCCGAGAGTGGGCATGACCTTGGAGTGGGCGTGGTCTCACCTGCCAAGGCTTCTTCATCTTGATGGCGACGACATGGAACCGGTAGCAGCAGAGCTCGCAGGTCCAGGAGCCGCGTTCGCTGATCCATTTCAGGAGGCACTGCTGGTGGGTGTGGCGGACGGACCCGTCACATCGACACGGGTTCAGCAGCTGCCCCTGTTGGGGCGGGGGAGGGCAACACCGGTGATCAGGAGGCCACCGCTCACAAGGTCGGCCCCCACACCGAATGACTGCCCTCGGTTTGAACCGAAACCGACGCGGTCGCTAACACCTTGAACCTCGCCGGCTTTATGGAAGATGGCGATCTTCTAAATCTGTGCTTACAGTCCAAATAATCTCCCTAACAGCAGGAGATAGCCGCCCAGCCAAAGCAGAGGCAATACGGACCAAACAGCATCATTCCCTGTAAAAGAGGGGCTTTTAACGTGCAGTAAAAGCCACAAAGGACAGCTTCCTGTTCATTTCCGTTATGCATATCCCACTTTGCACAGTCATCGCTAATAAGACACTCAGGAACAGTGTTTAGGCCCAAGGACACACGTATCATTTTTTATCGACTGCTACATCCCGGCTTAAGGCAGTAACAAAAGAGGAGGATGCACATTTGACTTAGGAAGCTCAATGGTTTATTAAAGAAACTTAACTGAAGCAAAACTAAAGACGCGGTCAAAAACCGTGACTAATGCCAATCTGCCAGCAGGAACTACCCAGCAAGATCAGTAGTATGAGATGCGTGTTTGGATGAGCGAGAAATAAGGTGTGGTGCAATTTAAACATGCGACAAGCGCAGAGAAATACAGCAGCCTCGCTGCCTCCCCCCAAGCCTGACAGATTCTGAGAGGCTGACCCAGGTGAGGCCCTCGTTCCAGGTAACGAGCTGGGGGGAGCCAAATTAAAGAGACAAGCCACTGGATCGTCACACGACCTTGAAGAGAATATTATGCCCAGGGTTCATAAATATAGCACAGCACTTTTCCCTGTCAAAACAGACCTGCCACATTTTTCGTAAGCGCCATTTTTTTTTTCTGTAATAAACTCTTCAGAGCAGCAACAATCCCGCAAACGCTGAGCTCTCTGTAGCAGACTGGGGCGTACAGTAATCCATCGGCAGGCTGATCTGTTCTTTTTTTTTTTTTTTTTGCTTTATGCACAGCGTCTCCGACAGCGACGGATAGGCTTTCCGCCCGCGCGATGCGCCGCGGCTCACCCAGCATTACCAAATTACCCGCGGTATCCGGGTGGCCCCATTCCTCAACGTGTCACGATCCCTCACGGGTTCGCCGCAGTCCCCCTGCCCTGCCGCTAATGAGACTGGGGGGCTAATAAATCAGCAGCTTCTTGTCATCGGGGCGGGGGGGGGGGGTGACTCACCATACATCATCGCAAACACGGTACTCAAAGGTTTGCTCTGTTCAAAATACCAGTCAGATCCAGAAGCGCTGCATCTTTGTATGATTGAATATTCTGCATTTCATTCCTCAATAAGTGAAATACCCAAGTCAAATTTTTGTCCCGTTTTCTACAATAATGCACCACATATAACAAAAAAAATTATATATATATATATAGTGTAAATAGTGTATAACAGAAAACTTTATAGCCATCATTGAATCTGTGTCTAATAAATATACAAACGCAAAATTAATTTAAAAACCTCCCACATTTCATTTTTATGGGATGCTAGAGAAACTGTACATGAAAATGGTCCGGCCATTTGGCGCATGGGAACAATACAGCAGTAACAGGAAAGGCTGTCCGTCCAAATGTTTATCTGCAATCAGATGGCAGTAATGGGCAGATGCAGCAGATAAGTTTATATGAGCTAAAATGCGCGGAGATGAGTACAGAAACCGGGCAAATGAGAGGTGAATAAAACCCGATAATTTAGGAAGCAGGTTCAGGTATTGTGGCATTCCGCATAAAATACTCCCCCCGTGATGAATGAAGGATAATGGAATAAATGCAAGCCACAGAAGGCCCCCAGTGAAAGGCAAAATAATAGTGGGGGCAGTCAGACACCCCCGGTTCCATTAGTAAACTCGTCTGATGGAGCAAACTGTTAATCTCGCTGACTTACAGAGAGCAGCACGGCTTTAAGATGTTCCGGGGAGTTTACACGGTGTTTCAGTGTTTCCAGGCATTAATAATTCAGGCCTATTTCGGAGGGAAATGACAAGGCAAACAGTCGACTAATAACAGCGAATCCCTCGCCTGCCACTGGAAAAAACAGCGGCGACTTCCTACGTTAAAAGGAGACGCATGGAAATTAGATGCATAACAGATACGTCCCAGTGTAAAAGAAGCAGAGTGAAAAGTCCCAGCTTCAAGATGTCCTTAAGCCCAAGTTACGTACATACTCTGTGTCACGTGTCTCTCAGAGAGTCTCTGTTCCGGCCCAAAATCGGCGCTTAACCCGTCTCCAGAGAATGTGTGTTCAGGATGTCGACGTCAGACCCAAGTCAAGCCGGGGAGCTCGAACCTGGCAGCCTAATGTCACAGGATGTAGAGGGAGTGTATCAGATTGCACCAAGGACTCAGAAAAACGCCGCCAGACATTAGCAGCAGGAAACAGAGAGAGAGCGTAACTGGAATTGATGAGCAACAGGCCTGTTAATGACCCAGCATCCATTACTCCCAGTTGAGCACTCAGAAATGCGAAATGTCTTCTTTTTAAAACAAGCCCCACCCCCTGCAGCCCCTGAGCCACATGGGTTCGGTTGACATTTAAACCCGGGAGGGGGGGGGAAGGGGGGTCGAATCTGCATCCCGTTCGCGTTGCCCGTCAGTGCGCTAAGCTACATCCCCTTCCTCGCCACGCAGGGCGGCCAACCCGCGGAGAGTGCGCCGGCTGCTCGCGGGAGCTGAAATATCAGGTAATTCAGGGAGCGTGCCGCGTGCAGCAGGGGTTTATGGGACATCTCTTCAAGCAGAATGAGCAATGAGTGCTGAGGGCCTGGAGGTGTGCAGAGGGGGGGGGGGGGTGTTCTGGGAATATACCAGTTACTCTGCAGTGTATTTATCACATGAGCTGAATGGGGGACAAACTGTCACACTTCCTTCAGCTTCCTTCACCTGGCTTTGCGTCTCATCGTTCAATCATTCCTCCATCCATCCCTCTATCCATCCATCCATATTCTATAACCCATCTATCCAGTAAAGGGTCATGGTGAACCTGTATCTTATCCAAGAAAACATGGAGCGCAGAGCAGAGCAGAGCATCCTGGATAATTATCTCTTTTACGTATGTTATTGAAATCTGGCATTTTGTATGGACGGAGGATGCAACCACAGGTCTTACAGACAGTGAGCTCTGCATGATCTCTGCTCTCCAGAGTGGCAAACATTACAGCACGAGTTGGAGCCAGGCACAGCAGAGACCAACACATCACACGCCATCACTCCCCCCCCCCCCCCCCAGCTTCCAGTGCCCTCGGCACAGACGCCTCTCCTCCCCGCTTATTGGACGTTAAAAAGGTCCAGTTCCCGATTATGAGCCTGAGCCGATTAATGCAGGCGCATCCATAGCCTGCCGTCAGATGGCAGGATGCAGATCTGCTTGTAATTCCCAGAATAAGTGAAGAATCTGCTGGCGGCGAGGGCTGAATCTGCAGGAATCCTGCTCCGAAACCATCTGCCAGCCAGCCTAAGCGATGCACCCCCCCCCCGCCAACCCCCCCTCTCTGTATCTAATCTAGACCTTGAGTGTTTCTCAATATGCGTACTTGACCGTACTTGTGTTCTCATGAACCCGTTTTACATCATCTTCCATTGCCAAAGACCAGTTCCAATACTAAGCACAGAAGTACAGAGGACAGTAAAAATCCCCGGATGTCGTTCTTGCTCCACCCCAAATATCAAGGATACATCGATTGCATCCTCGCCAAACGTGACCAATCCCATGATTCATCGTGCCCCGAGTTCATTCTTGGGAGGCAAGTTTGCAAGACCGGTCTTGCCAAGACAACAAGTACGATCTTTGTGTCCTTGGTTTGAGAAACTCCCCTCCTGTTTAAGGTCCACCTTAAAACTTGGTGCTGGTGTCACTCTCCTCGGACAAAGCCCGTCACCCTGCAGCGCAGTCCCCGTCTGCCCCCTCGTCCCACTCTCACCCAAGCCCAGGCACCTCTACATTCGCGTCATACGTCAACAGGCCTGCAGCCTTGACCCACAACGTACAACCTGCAGCAACACAGGCTGACTTGCTGCCCCAACAGATGGCCAAGACTAGCCTAGAGAAGCTCACTCCTCCTCTCCAAAGTTCAGACCCAACACTTGACCTGTGAACAATTATCACACTAACAGGAGAAACATCTAATTACCTCCAGAGGATTTCTACAGTCAAACTTTTAATACTACATGACATTAGCTTCAGTATTGCCTGTCTGTCATGCTACTCTTCATACTAAATATTCACTAAGTGCTCTTGCAGAACTATGTTAAAGGGACCTTTGCAAATTAACCTGAAGTATTTGATATACTACAAATATCCAGGTGCAAAAACGGTTGAGGTATCCTGCGACGGACTGGCATCCTGATCAGGAGGTACCTCAGCCTTGTGCGGCTTGGGATGTGGTCCAGGCCTACCCCGTAACCCTCAGCTACATCAGCAGTTAGATGATGGATGGACAGACAGATAAATGGCAAGGTCTGGCTGGAAATTGTGCTGAACAAGTATCTGGTGTCGTGTAAACTGACTCTTTTTTTTATGATGTGGCAGCAATCAGTTGCTAATTTTGTGCAAGTCAAACATGCCATTTAAAAACACTCCATTTCCCTCTTATAAACAACCCGATGTTACGCATTTCACACGGAGTCCCTGTGTTTGTGTGTAACAGTACACTGCTCAAATTAAAATGTTACTTAAAACTGCAGGACTGATCGCAGCCATACATCTCTTAAAATATTCAATAGGATGCGTTTTGTATGTCTGAGGCAAAATCCTCAAAACTGCTGTGGGCAACACAGAGGGGAAAAGTTTAAAAAGTTAAATTCACTTTTGTCATTTCATTGCGTGGTATGATACAGACAACCTACAATAATACAAGCAAAGCCAGAACACCGTGTACCGATTATACATTATTTCTGTGAATAAACTAGGCAGATCTTGTAATAAACCTTGTAAAGTCAGATGACTGTGGTGTTTATATGTAAACTACACTGTTTCGCACATTCTAACGAAAATGAAATGCGGGTGGCTGGCTGGGTAAAGATCTTACCGCCCTGCGAAATATATGAGCGGCTGGTATTACATTTTATTACTGTTTAATACTGATCTTCGCACCCCGGCTGCTAGGCGCTGACCCCGGTGCTGAAACATGCCGATCGCACACATGCATCCCGCCTGAATTGCCGCGTGTCGCCGCCAGTTGCGACAAACTGAGATCCCTTACGCTACCTGCTCGGCTCCCTGGAAGCAAATCCGACAGCTGGGAGTCGGTATGCAGGTTTCGCTGCTGCAGTCCGATTGCAACGTCCCAGCCTTGTCGGGACTCTGTCCCGAAAGCTCCTCGCTGGGCAGACAGCATGCTTCGCCATCTGGGTCGGTGAGGCATCCACTGTGTCCTTCCTCAGGGTTAACATCCACACGCTCGCCGTCCTCCCCATCCCCATGGCTTATCCCCGTGTCGAGATGTCCTTCCAAATCGCTTGGATCGCGCTCTGCGCCGGAGTGGATTATTGCAGCGCCTCCCTGTGGTTCGCCCTCCGTGCCCCTGCAAACCGGACCCACCTCAGCCTCTCGGCTCATATTAAATGAATAAAACGCAAGAAAAAAAATAAATAAATAAAAAGAAAATGCAAAAAAAGAACAGACAACGTGCCCGATCTAGAAAGAAGGCATGGATGTATTCCCAAAACAGTCGACGACGTGGAAAAGGATGGAGCAAATGCGCTCAAATATAACAAATGACGCTACAGTTTGGCAAAGTTGGAGGAAAAGCGTCTCTCCCATGTGTAGTCGGTTTTGCGGTTTGAAGGCAGCGGTCTCGACCGGCTCATATCCGAGCAGACCGCCAGCGACGGCGGACTGAGCAGGGGAAGCCGACGCCGCTCCGAGCGAGAGTCTCCTCACCTGGGTCGCGTTTCCTTGGAAACAGAGAATTTAATAAACGCAAGATAAACTTTGGCGGCGCGGGCGCGCGAGGCTGTCACGCGGGGAGATGCGCCGAGGCGCGTTGGCGCGAGCCTGGGGGGTGACAGCTTTGCGAGCCGGGACGATCGCACGCCGGCCTCGCCGTCAGTGAATGCCGCACAGGCCATCCGGGAGTCCGGCGGAGGGGGGACGAACGCGGTGCGGCGCGGCGATCCGGGCGCTCCTCTTCTCGCTCGCCTTGCGGTGCTTCGGCGGTCTTGCTGCTGACCTACTAACACATAAGTGGTTTCGGTAAGTCTGGCTCAGCGGGGACGGTGCGCTGTAAACGATGCATCTTATTGCACTTCATACGACAAGATGACGTATAAAAATCGTCATTCGAAACTTTGTGTAATTATAGTCTAAATAAATCTCAAAACGTCCACTTGTTAAGACTAAAACGCGTTCAATATCTTGACATGAGAAACTAATAAAGCCGATTTAAATTATGCGTAATATTTATTAATTCCATTAAACAATACCCAGAGCTACAAAGCTTTTTTTTTTTTTTGCTCTTTTATTGTGTCTTGCTTCGTTCGCATTAATACAAAAATTCCTGGTCCGCGGAGAAACCTTTCATCATTGCCCTCCAACATGATGGATTGGTCTTTTTCTTGATTAAATTCTCAGCAGAACTCCACATCTCCTCATAGTGAGCCATAGCTGGGAGGGTGGGGTGGGGGGGTGGGGGGGGGGGGCGCAGAGAAAAAAGCCACAGGCACTGGGCACCACAAGGGCCTCTTAAGTCCTCGGTGGAACGCTGCCATTTCCTGCCATAATCAGGATGGAACACTTACCAACTGTCAGATGACATCATATTGTTCCTGCCTTATTACTCCAGACCTCCCTCGTAGCCGCTCCTACTGCTTTCCCTTTCTGTTTCCCATTGCACGCCATCATCTCAGTCGGTAAAACCAGGCGTAGAGGCTCAATCTGTCCCCATAAACCAGGAGACAGTGGTCCCGGAGCAGGTGTAATTCCCTAAACCGATCGTTAAACTGTGATTGGTCGTCCTGACATAAAGGGGTGAGACCGAAAAGGGGGCGGGGTCGTGCCTCTCAGGTTATCCTACACGGCCCTGCATGATGAAATGGGTTTAAAACACAAAGCCATTGTTCTGCACACCATTTTCTTCAAGTATACAACGTGCGATTACTTCACATTTTATAGTTTTTCTAAATATAATATCGTGGCCCTACTGAAGTTTCCACTTGATTACCCTTGATCATGTGGAAGAGGAAACGCATATATTGTCACATTCTTCGTCTGATGTATTTAGGGTAACTAGGTCTCCTTTTGATAAGCCACAAAGTGCTGCTCGTCTGGATGAGATAGGCGGTTCCTCTTGCTCCCATTCAGAGGAAGTGCACTACCTGTACGGCTCAGCAGTAGTAATGTCCGCTAATGCAACAAAGTAAATTACAACTCACGTCCAATCATTACCTACAAGAGCAATCGATACCTGGCCAGTCCCGTGTTATTACGGGGGGGGATTACGCTGGCTTTTGCAGTCGTTTGAGACGGCATGAAATGATGCGCGTAACGAGGCTTCTGATGGCGCCCGGTAATTAACGCAGGGCAGCCCGACTCGCTAATAATACGCCTTTTTTTTGGTGCTTCGGCGCGCCGTTCGCACCTCTAATAAGCAGAAGCATCTTCAGACTCGAGGAACTGTGTAATTGCAAGAACATTACTATACCCATCAGCGGGTCTGCAAAAAAAAAAATATTAACCCCTAATGCTGTTACATATCACGCTTCAGGTATGCCCATAGAACTATATTTAAACCTAATGAGATGTATAGGCTACCTCGTTACAGACCTATGTCCCTGGCCTATTTTCACAGCAAGAACGCTTAATGTTAAAGCATCCAATGCACTTTTAGACGGGATTATAAAATGGCAATGCGAAATGATTTATTCTTAGAGAAATGTATAGCATATATAGCCGTCCAACAGGTGGTTGCCGAAAGCATACCCCGCCCGAGTCGCTGCATTAGCGGTACTTCTAATGATCAATATGAATCAATACATCCAGACTATGTATTTCAGGAACTAAAATACTGGGCGCATTTGAGATACAAAAGCCTCCTTTTATCACGGGTATTAGAAAGGAGATCAGAACGGAAGAGTTTAGCATGTGACCCACAGACTCAGTTAGCTCAGGGTTAGTCCGGCTGCCCCCGGTGCGATCTGATGGCACCAGTCTCGTTTTGCCTTCCTGGATCAGCCAGGTTCCCCCCCGCCCCCAGCGTCCGCATCGCTTCCTCTGCCCACGTCGTGCTGCTGCCCCGCCGGCAGAGAGCTTGGGCCAACCTGGAACACAAATCGATCAGCTGAGGGGAGTGTCGCTGTGGCCCATGACTGCAGGGCACAACCGATCACCAGCCCCCTTCACGCGCCGCCCGACGGACATGCCCGCCCCGACGGCGGATGGATAGAATGACCCCAGTATCGCGGCTCAGGTTGATCCACGTTCAGAATAATCTTGATCAAGGTTAGACACGTCTGCCACCTGGCTTTCGACTTCTGAGCCTGGATCGGGTGGATCCGAACTCCAGCTCATTCATCTGATTACAGAGGCTGCCTCAACTGGGCTTTAATACTCTTAATATTACTGTCACATCAGCCTGCCTATTCTTACCTCATTACTCAGCCATTACTAACCTCACAGGTTCTGTGCGGGGCCAAAACGAGTGCATTGTTTCCACACAGAAGCAGCATGTATCAAAAAGTGATTCCAGTATAGTCCATTACAAACACAGAAGAGGCTGATTCACAACCAGTAGTGCTGGTGGGGGGGTGGGGCGTAATTGGCATGAGCTGAACTGGCAGAGTCTGCCGCACCTACACGCCAAATGACCTTATTCTCCTTGCAAGTGGCGAAGGGGGAGGGACGACAGGAGGGAGGATGCTTGGACAGAGGGGCGAGGGGACAGAGAGGAGCAGGGGGACCCAATGACCAAATCCCAGGACACCCCAAAGCCACACATGACAACTGTAATGGGGAGTCAGAGATCCATGGGGGGTGGGTTATAAATTCAACCAGGACACCTTTCACAAAGGAGAGGAAGGGGGAAAAAAAAAAAAACAAGAAACATGATGCTCATTAAAACACTGTTCTTTATGGTAATTCATTATAATTTTAAGCAATAATTATATTTTCAGGGTAGCATTTTCTGAAAACGTGTCCATTTAATTACCGGCTATAATAAATGATCACAGCCGTCTCCCCAACACAATAAAACCCAGGCGCCACAACCCAGGCTTTCAAAGCACCACAGATTCGGGTTTGGCTGCACTCTGTAATTTACTCCGCGAAGAATGATTCTGGAAACTCCGATAATCTCCTCCGGTTGGGAAAGGACGCATGGGTGATAATCTCCTGTAATCAGCGGGGGGGCGGGGGCACAGCTGGAGTCACCCAGCCGCGGGGACAGCAGGGGGCGCTCTGCCAGGACTTCAGAACATGACTTGGGCTCTGAAGTGAGTCTGTTTGGTGGCATTATTTTGCATCCCGGTCCGGAGCATCCACCTGGCCTTCATCCTCTGCACGTACTGCATGTCCTTGCGGCTGCGGGCGGTGGCGTCTCTGCCTGTGGGCCGGGACACACCAGATAACATTCCTTAGGCGTGCTTTCCATCCACAGTGTCTCAGAAACACTAGTGGGGTGTTTTGTGGTGCATTTAGGATCTGAGGAAAACATCTTTCAGCTCAATGGCACCACGGGCATCGCCCAGGGCGGGCGCGATTGGGCGCGATTGCCGTGTTTACTTCACAGTACAGGCGTCAGTGGTTCTCTGCTCTGTACCGTGCCGCTCTGATAATAAAATGAACAATGGCTGTAATCTTGTCGTGTCCAAGATAAAGTTTACTACTTAAGACCCTCTCATCTGCGATACTATCGCAAGTTACGCTTAACTGAAGCTGGTTTTTAGATTAAGGAGAAAAACAAGACAGAGCAGTATGTTCTGAAGATTCCCAACTACAGAAGTGGCATCTAACCGTAAAATCAAACGCAGAGCGGCTTTCGCTCTTCTTTCCGAAACAAACGCACTAATCAAATAAAAGCTTATTGCTCGTGAAGCTCTGCCAGCGGATCCTATTTTTGTTAAATGTTGACTGATCTGGTAATAAAGAAGTGGATCGTCTTTCCTCGAGGGGGGGGGGTGGAGCCTCACCTGCATCTTCCCCCCAGCCCAGGGCCCGGTACTGCCGCAGGACCCGGCCCACAGCATTCCTGTCACGGGCCACCGCCACGGTCCTGGTCGCGCCGAATCGCTGCTTGTAGTAGCGCATGAGGGACCGGTGGCCAATCTTGGCTCCTGAAACAGGGGCAGCTGTCACAGTGTGTGTGGGGATCGGGGGGGGGGGGGGGGCGGGGGGGGGGGGGGAGGGGGGGGGGGGGGGGAAACCAAGAAACATGATGCTCATTAAAACACTGTTCTTTATGGTAATTCATTATAATTTTAAGCAATAATTATATTTTCAGGGTAGCATTTTCTGAAAACGTGTCCATTTAATTACCGGCTATAATAAATGATCACAGCCGTCTCCCCAACACAATAAAACCCAGGCGCCACAACCCAGGCTTTCAAAGCACCACAGATTCGGGTTTGGCTGCACTCCGTAATTTACTCCGCGAAGAATGATTCTGGAAACTCCGATAATCTCCTCCGGTTGGGAAAGGACGCATGGGTGATAATCTCCTGTAATCAGCGGGGGGGCGGGGGCACAGCTGGAGTCACCCAGCCGCGGGGACAGCAGGGGGCGCTCTGCCAGGACTTCAGAACATGACTTGGGCTCTGAAGTGAGTCTGTTTGGTGGCATTATTTTGCATCCCGGTCCGGAGCATCCACCTGGCCTTCATCCTCTGCACGTACTGCATGTCCTTGCGGCTGCGGGCGGTGGCGTCTCTGCCTGTGGGCCGGGACACACCAGATAACATTCCTTAGGCGTGCTTTCCATCCACAGTGTCTCAGAAACACTAGTGGGGTGTTTTGTGGTGCATTTAGGATCTGAGGAAAACATCTTTCAGCTCAATGGCACCACGGGCATCGCCCAGGGCGGGCGCGATTGGGCGCGATTGCCGTGTTTACTTCACAGTACAGGCGTCAGTGGTTCTCTGCTCTGTACCGTGCCGCTCTGATAATAA